AACAAACAAACAAAACAAAAAAAAGAAAAGACAAATGGAAGAAACTTAAAGGCATATTGATAAGTGAAAGACGCCAATCTGATAAAGCTACATACTTTACCATTCCAGCTATTTGACATTCTAGAAAATGTAAAACTATGAAGACAGTAAAAAGGTCAGTGGTTTGCAGGGCTTAGGGAGGAGTGATGAATATGTGGAGCACAGAGGATTTTGAGGGCAATGAAAATACTCTGTGTGATATTATAATGATGGATATATGTCATTATACATTTGTCCAAACCCATAGAATGTTCGAACACCGAGAGTGAAGTCTAATGTAAACCACCGACTTCAGATGATTATGATGCTTCCATTTTGATTCATCAGTTGTGACAAATGTACCACCCTGATGAGTTATGATGATAATAGACTAGGCTATGCATGTGTGGGGCTTAGGATATGTGGGAAATCTCTGTGACTCCCTCACAATTTTGCTCTAAACCTAAAACTGCTTTTAAAAATAGTCTTATGACAGGAATTTCTTGGTGATCCAGTGGTTAGGACTCCGAACTTCCACTGCTGGGGCCTGCGTTCAATCCCTGGTTGGGGAACTAAGATCCCACAAGCTGCATGGCATGGCCAAAAAAAAAAAAAAAAAAGGTCTCATGAAAACAAGGGTAATGAGACAGATTTTTAAAATAACTATTTTATCCATTCATCCATTCATTAATTCTTTGATTCAATAAATGTTTATTGTTTGCCCAAAAAATGGTATTAGTAATTCAAAGTGTCCTGCATCAAAAAACCATAGTTCCTGATAGTTTTTTAAAGAAATATAACTCTCAACAAAATGAGTATAGAGGGAACACACCTCAACATAATAAAAGCCATATATGACAAGCCCACAGCTAATACCATACTCAATGGTGAAAAGCTGAAAACATTTCCTCTAATATCAGGAACAAGACAAGGAGGTCCACTCTTGCCACTTTTATTCAACACAGTATTGGAATTCCTAGCCACAGCAATCAGAAAAGAAAAAGAAATAAAAAGAGTCCAAATTGGAAAGGCAGAAGTTAAATGTCACTGTTTGCAGATGACATTGTAGTATACATAGAAAATCCTAAAGATAAAACCCAAGAACTACTGGAACTCATCAATTAACTTGGTAAAGTGGCAGGATACAAAACTAACATAAAGAAATCTGTTTCACTTCTATACACTAAACACAAACTATCAGAAAATGAAATTAAAAAAACAATCCCATTCACAATCACATCAAAAAGAATAAAATACCTAGGAATAAACCTAAGGTGGTAAAAGACCTGTACCAAGAAAACTATAGGACACTAATGAAAGAAACTGAAGATGACACAATCAGATGAAAAGATATACCATGTTCATGGATTGGAAGAATTAATATTGGTAAAATGACTGTAATATCCATGGCAATCTACAGAATCAAAGCAATCCCTATCAAAATACCAATAGCATTCTTCACAGAACTGGAACAAATAATTCTAAAATTTGTATGGAAACACAAAATACCCTGAATAGTCAAAGTAATCTTGAAAAAGAAGAACAAAGCTGAAGCTATCTCTCTGCTGCCTGATTTCAATCTATGTTATAAAGCTACAGTAATCAAAACAGTCTGGTACCAGCAGAGAAACAGACACATAGATCAATGGAACAGAATGGAAAGCCCAGAAGTTAACCCACACATATATGGGCAATTAACGTAAGATAAAGGAGGCAAGAATATACAATGGGGAAAAGACAGCCTCTTCAATAAACTGTGTTGGGAAAACTGGACAGTTACTTGTCCAGCAAAAGAATGAAACTAAACTACCCTCTTATATTGGTCACAAGAATAAATTCAAAATGGATTAAAGACCTAAATGTAAGACTAGAAACCATAAAACTTCTAGAAGAAAACATAAGCTCTTTGACATTGGTCTTAGTAATATTTTTTGGATATGTCTCCTTGGGCAAGGGAGACAAAAGTAAAAATAAATAAGACTACTTCAAAGTAAAAATCTTTCACACAGGGAAGGAAACTATCAACAAAACAAAAAGACCACTTACTGAATGAAAGAAGATATTTGTAAATAATATATCTGCTACTGAAATAAGGAAGATATTTGCAAATGATATATCTGCTACTGAACTGAACTTGGGTCCACATGCCTGATGTGCAGCAAAGCCAATATATTGACACTGGGTTGTGGTCAAGGAAAGTACAGCATTTATTGCTGGGTGCTAAGCAAAGAGAACGGGCAACTTATGTTCATATGGCCTGAAATCTTGGATGATTTTCAGGGGAGGGTTTTTAAAGACAGTGTGAGGGAGAGGGTCACAGGGTGTGTTTCAGCTCATGCACAATTCTCTGGTTGGTTGATGGTGAGGTAACAGTGTGATGTTTCAGGAATCTCAATCATCAACCTTCTGGTTCCAAAAGGTCTGGGGTCTACATACTGGTGGTCAGCATACAGTTAACTTCCTTCACCTGGTCGGGGTTTTAGTATCTGCAAAACAACTCAAGGATATGGCTCAGGATATTCTCTATAGCCCTTAAGGAGGAACTAAAGGTCCTTGACTTTTTTTTATGGTTAAACTCTTATTATGTTGTCTTGCTTGATTGCTTTCCTTTGTTTCTGCATATTCTCACTTCTCTGATTAAATTTGTTCTTTGGAACTCAGGGAAGGTGTAGGATGCTAAATCTTCTCTCCAAACAAGAGGAGGGAAACAGGAGGGCGTCTGTCCCCAGGAAAGCCCTATAGGGTCCTATTCTATTTCGTGTCCTAAAAGGGATTAATATCCAAAATTTACAAAGAACTCATACAACTCAACGTGAAAAATAGACAATCTGATTAAAAAAGAGGGTCTGAATATTTTCCAGAGAAGACATACAGATGGCCAACAGGAACATGAAAAGATGCTTAACATCACTAATCACCAGGGAAATGCAAATCAAAACCACACTGAGATATCACCCACACGTGTCAGAACGACTATTTCCAAAAGAAAAAATATAACAAGTGTTGGCATGGATGTGCAGAAAAGGGAATCCTTGTGCACTGTTGGTGGGAGTATAAGTTGGTGCAGCCACTATGGAAAACACAATGCAGATTTGTAAAAAAATTAAAAATACAACTACAATATTAACCAGCAGTTCCACTCCTGGGTATTTATCTGAAGAAAATGAAAAGATACATGCACTCCAATGATCATAGCAGCATTATTTACAATAGCCAAGATATGGAAGCAATTTAAGGGCCCATCAATAGATGAATGGACAAAGAAGAGGTGGTACATACATGCAATGCGACGTTACTAAGCCATAGAAAAGAATGAAATTTTGTCATTTGCAACAACATGATAAACCCAAAGGGTTTTATGATAAGTGAAATAAGTCAGACAGAGAAAGACAAATACTGCATGATTTTGCTTATAGGTGGAATCTAAAAAACAAAACAAATGAACAAACATGATGAAACAAACAGAATTACAGACATAGAGAAAAAACAGGTGATTGCCAGAAAGGAAATGGGTAGGAGGAGGAAAGAAATAGGTGACAGAGGTTAAGAGGTAGATACTTTCAGTTACAAAATAAGTGAGTCACAAGTATGAAATATACAGTGTGAGGAATACCATCAATAACTAAGTAATATCTTTCTATGGTGACATCGTTAACAAAACTTTGAAATGTACAGGAATATCTCTTCACTATGTTATGTACCACGAACTAACATAGTGTTTAAGGTTGTTGTACTTCAAAAACAAACAAACAAACAAATTCACAGAATAAGGTATCAGATTAATGGTTACCAGAGGAGGTGGGTGGGGGAGGGAGAATTGGATGAAGTCAGTCAAAAAGGACAAACTTCCAGTCATAAGAAAAATTAGTACTAGGCATGTAATGTACAACATGATAAATACAATCAACACTGTATGTTATACATTAAAGTTGCTAAGAAAGAAAATCCTTAGAGTTTTCATCACATGGAAAAAAACTTTTTCTATTTCTTTAGTTTATAACTATATGAGATTATGGATGATCACTAAACTTATTATGATAAATATTTTATGATGTATGTAAGGTAAATCATTATGCTATACATCTTAAACTTATACAGTGCTGTATGTTAATTATATCTCAATAAAAGTGGAAGAAAAAATAGGAATTCAGAGATTATTTAATAAAATATGATGGCGGATGCCCTGAAATTATCCAGAGTGAAAAAAAAAAAGTTTTCTGCTCAAAGGCCATAGTTTCAGGCAATTTTACAAGGAAATATCACTGTTTTCAATCATCTTTATCTTTTTTTTTTATAAAATTATTTTATTTTATTTATTTATTTTTGGCTGCATTGGGTCTTCATTGCTGCGCGCGGTCTTTCTCTAGTTGCGGGAAGCAGGGGCTACTCTTCGTTGCGGTGCGCGGGCTTCTCACTGCGGTGGCTTCTCTTGTTGCAGAGCACGGGTTCTAGGCGCACAGGCTCAGTAGTTGTGGCTCGCGGGCTCTAGAGCACAGGCTCGGTAGTTGTGGCGCATGGGCTTACTTGCTCCGCGGCATGTGGGATCTTCCCGGACCAGGGTTTGAACCCGTGTCCCCTGCATTGGCAGGCGGATTCTTAACCACTGCGCCACCAGGAAAGCCCAATCATCTTTACCTTATTCAAAATATCTTGGAGGAAGTAAAAAGGCTACCCAAATCGTTTTAAATTTAGAATAATCTCATAAAATTATGATCTGATGTGAGTAATAGGCAAGGACAGTACAGGAGAGGAAACTAGGCAAAGTTATGAACATAGATGCAAATATAAGATAAAAGAAAATGGAATAGGATAGAACTTTAGGGAACTGAATTTAGTAGTTTATAAAATATTCTTAAAAAGTAAGGTTTTACATAGATATAGTTGGATACTGCTACTAACCACTTCTTATTTAAATTTATCAGTAGATGAGATCATTTCCTTCTTTGTTGGTTTTTAAAGTTTTATTTTTTGTGTGTGCAAGGACTGAATTTGAATAAAATTAGTAAACAAGGGGAAAAAAAAGTAAGGTTTTACCCTAAGAATGCAAACATAATTTGAAATCAGAAAATCTATTAATGAAATCTCTCATATTAATAGAATTAACACTAAAATCCATATTAACACCTCAATGGATACAGAAGCAAATTCAACAAAACTGAATAGCTATTAATGTTGTAACAAAACGCTTAGAAACTAGTCATTGAAGGGAACAAGTTTAAGTTCATAACTCACAACAAGAAAGAACATACAGCAAAACATATAATTTATAACTGAGACGTCAGGAGCAAGCCTAGAACACTACAGAATGACTGTCATCAAGTTTAGTCAACATTGGATTGGAGGCTTTCCTCCAGTATAGCCAATATAGCCTTTCCTCTAAAGAAAAGTGAGATGGAGCAGGTCTGCTCAGCTTGGGGGGCTCAAACAGAAGACAGCTCTTGTTCTTCTGAGTCTCTAAGGAAACTTAGAAGCACTTTCTGTCCTTGGATTCATGAGACCTTAAGTGGGTGAGGATGTTTCCTGCTGCGTGTGATTGAAACCCCATCTCAAATGCCTTCAACAACAAGGAAGGGGATGACTCCTGGGGCTGGAAGAGTGGAGGCTTTGGAGGTGAGGTTGCCCAGTGGCTCTGGACTGGCAGCCGCACCCTCCTCTTGCCTTGTGACTTGACTTCACTCTCAGTTGGGAGGAAGTGGAGAGCAGACTTCTCCCACCTCCCCTGCAGCCAGACCTTTCCTTTCACTTCAGTGGCCCGTTTAGGGGACACGCTCATTCCTGCACCATCACCAACCAGGACGGGGAGCCCCCTGGTGACACTCACACCACCTCTTCCACCACTGAGGCCAGTTCTCAGAGCTGGGTCTGGGGTCAACCTCTCCCAAAGCCCATGGGACATTCAGGGGGGAAGAGAAACTGAATAAACCTGTGGTTCTCTGTCAACGAGGAGAGAATCCGTGCTGGGGAGGCAGCTTACAAAATGCCCAAGAGACCCTTGAACGCTTCCGTGAGAATAAAGCCTGGGTGCTCAGCAGGAGATGACGCCCATCTAGAAAGAGAGTAGATGGAAAGTTCTGATGGGGTGGAAGGCACGTAGGGGGTCTGTGAGCCAGGTGGAGACAACTAGTACATCTCATGGAGAAGGAGAGGTAAGATGTGCCGTGGAGCAGTCCACACGGAAGGAGCTTAGAAGGGGGGAGACCAGGCTTGTTTAGAAACCAGGTGTGACCTTTGGGGACAGAATCCGAGGGGCAAAGATCCTCAAAAACTGCTGTTAACCCATAAATTTCCTCCAGAGGATGTTGTGATTTTAGGAACCTTGAATTTCCCTGGAAAAGGGACCGTGCTTACTTTTTCTCCCCAGGCAGCCACAGCCGTGCTTGGACACTGCTGGGAGGACAGGCAGCCTGACACTTTGGAGTTGAAGGCAGGTGCTTGGGCTGGGATGTAAGATGAGGAACTGCCTTTTCCCCAGGGTTCCCGTGTTGACTCAATTCTTGCATTTATATCCATTGGGGAGCTCATCCGTCCTCTCCACAGACCAGGGCTGGGTAGTATTCTGAGTAAAGGTGGCTGTGAGGGGTAACAGGGAAAGATTAGGAAAGGGATATTCTAGATGGAAGGAGAACTGTGAGGAAATATTATATTTTATATTGGTAATAAGCAGGGAGCTTAACGACTGAAGCAGAATTCTCATTGTATCCTGAGAGGGAGAAACTGTCCAGTGTGCTTCCTCCCCCATTCATCAGCCAGGAGAGCTTGAGTGACCAGATGGCTCAAGGCAGCTTCCCTGGGTTCTGCTTGGGGTGGAACGTTTCTCCACACTGTGAACCCATTAGGGCCTCTATGAAAAGAGATAGGGATTGGAAAGGACAGGAAGTTTCTACAATCCATAAGAAAAAGATGAGTGATGCAATAGTAATAGAAAACTGGCCCAAAGATATGTATGAACAGGCATTTCACCAAAGAGCTGCAGTTGCATTAGAAACATAAAAAGAGACCAACTCCCCCGGCAATTGGAGAAATAACAATTAAAAAAACTAGATATTAATTATAGGATTTTTGACCAACAAGAAATTTTGAAAGATTTGGTAAAATCCAGAGCTGTTTATTTTTCAGGGAACTGGACTTTCATGTTTCTGTTTGGTTTGTAATTGCTAATACTCCTTCGAAGGCAGTTGGGCTGCCACTTCTCTTTATGGCTGAATGACTTCTATTGTATGGACAGATCACGTTTCATTTACCCATTCATCAGTGGTTGGACATTTGGGTTGTTTCCACACTTTGTCTCTTACAATAATCCTGCTACGAATATTCATGCATAATTTTCTGTGTGGACATACATTTTCATTTCTCGGGTAAATACCTATTGGAAAGCTGGGCCATATGGAAACTCCTGTGGAGTCTGGTGAGAACCTGCTAGACTGTCTTCCACAGGAAGTTTCCCTGGGTTCTTATAACTGTGACACTCCTTGGACCGAGCCATGTGGTATTGGTGTCATAAATATAGAAGGAATTCCGACGTGTGTACCCATGTCATCCTTGTGGAGACACCACACACGGGCTGGTATGTACTACAGCTGCTCCACCAATCCTGACCCACACCTGGAGCAGACTGGGGGCTGTCTATGCACCTTTGCCCTGAGTGACAAAGGAGGGCTCTCAGAGAGACCAGGCAGCCAGGAGGTCAGACCTCATCCCGCTTCTGCCACTGTCACCCTGTGATGTTGGGCAAGTCCCTTGATCTCTCTGGGTCTCAGTTCCCATCCTGTCCAAAGTGTTGTGAGGCTTCTGCAAGTTACTAGAGGTGAAAGTGCTGTCACTTAACCCCAGGCAGGAGGTGCTCCCCAAACAAGAGTTCCATGTGGCAGGTGGTCAACTTGCCACCCTTCATCCAGGACCACAGGAAGAGGAGAGGAAGAGAAGAAACTGCCCATTATTTCCCAGTCTGGGTGAGAAAGGACACAGAAGTGTCTGAGAAAGACAAGGGGTAAGTAGCAGGCAGCCTCCCTCCCTCTAGAGAACTCGAGGCTCCTGCAGCCCTGCTGGCCTGGTCTCCAGAGGGAGGGAGGAGATCAGGTGTCAGCGGCTGTGTCTATATAGCCCCAGGCCTCCAGGGCCAGGCTCATTCCTGAGGCTGCTGCCAGGCCTGCTAAGGTGAAGCTGTCCAGCGCCATCCCTTGGGCCTTGCTGCTCAGCACAGGTAAAGCCTGGCCCCCAGCCCCTTACTCCTGGGCCTCTCTCTCTGCTTCCTGTTCAACCTAGAGATTCTATGCAGTTTGCTTGTTGCCAGCGAAGACAGTCTGCAAGATACTCTCCTCCAACGAGATGTCTCCCTCACCCTGGGCTGGAGGAGGAGGGGTCCAACAGGATGGCCATGACCCTGGGCTGAGACCACCTTGATTTTTAAACATTCTCTGGGCTCCCCTGTCTTTGTTCTGAGATGTTTTCTTGGGTCTCCCTGCCTCCCCCCTCCCTCCTGCCTTAAGCCAATGTCCCTGGGATGCACTGCGGGGCAGCCAGGGCTCAGCCCAGACCTGGATGAGGGGAACCAGACGTGTTTTCGCTTTGGAGGGGTTCTTGGAGCTGTGACTGTGTGGGTGCTTGGAGGGGGGACCCTGGCTGGACCTGAGCTGGAGGGGGTGACCAATGGGGAAACGGGGGCCCCTGAGGAAGCCCCAGGACAGGTGGGTGTGCTCTGCACCTGCCCCCAGGGATTGAGACGTGGCAGCTACACAAGTTCGGGAACGAACAGCAGGAACAGCAGCTCCGTCCAGGGGCTGAGGATGTCCTGACAGGGAGAGCCTAGCCCTGCCGCTGGGACTGCCCTTGACCGCAGGAGGGAGAGCAGCCCTGATTCCCGATGCTGGGAGGAAAAAAGAAGCCGTCATTTCCTCAGGGAGACCTCTGGCTTCTTCTCCCTCATTCTGTATCTCTGTCTCTTTCTGTCCTTCCCCCTGCTGTCCCCCTTTCTGCTCCAGCTCCTCTCTTCAGCTCTGCTCACTCTGCTTCCCTGCCCTCGCCCTGTTGTTCCCCCCCTGCTCACCTTTGCCCCTCACACTTCAGGGCAGGGCGGCCCCCATCACTAGGCTCTCCCCTCCCCTCTGCTCCTCACTGCTCTCATCTCCTTCAGGCAATGCGGGTCGGGGCTAGGAGATGCAGGTGGTGGCAAGTGGAAGGACAGGTCAGTGCGGTCAGTGTGTGACCACAGACCCCTGTCAGCGTCCATCCCAGGCTGCTGTGAGGAGGACCTTCCTGTCTGCCTGGTCCTGGGGGGCGCCATTCTGATGGGACATTTTGTGGGCAGCTTGTGGGTAGAAATGCGTCCATCAGAGCCCTTCCTGCGTCTGCTGTTTCTCAAGTGCCTTCAGTTCAAATCATCAATATGCCAAGATGGCATGTTTCAGGGTGACATGTCTTGAACTCCTACAAGGGGCTGCATGTTCCCTCTGCTTCAAAGCTGGGACCTCAGATTCTAGATCAGAGGGGTTCACTGCAGATGTGGGTCCAGTCTAGAGACGCCACCTGAAGTGACGGGGATAGTTTCTGGTTCTGCACGTGACACCTGCTTTCAGGCAAACCTTCATTTATATTTTCCAGAGCAGACGTGGTGGACACCCCAGGGTGGGGAGGTTTCTTTTGTGCCCCCCAATCCAATGCCACCTCAGGGCCCAGGAAGGGCAGCTGGAGATGGACTCCCAGTGTTCAGGTTGACATTTATGATCAAATAGTTTCCAGAGCATTTGTTGATTTCTACTTACTGAGGCCAGAAGTATCTAGTTGGGAAAGGAAGTGGCTGCCATAGGATGTTGACAATGGCGGGTAATGCACTGGAGAGGCTCCCTGGGCTGGCCACTGAGCCGTGTATGCGTGGATTATCCTCCAGAACCCAAGGAAGCCGTTACTATTAAATCCTCATTTTACAGCTGAATGGACTGAGGCTTAGGGAGAGTAAATAACTTGTGCAAAGCCATCCAGCTCTCATGCCCACAGGACTGTGACCAGGGCCGTCTGATTCCTGAGCTGTGCTGTGCCCACTCGTCACACTGTGAGGATAAACCATAGGGCACATCAACAGCGGAAGCCATGTGATTGCCGTCAGAACAGCACAACAATCCATGAAAGTTGTGATATATAATATCCCAGCCCTCCCAAAACGTGATGAATTTGAAATATTCATACCAAATGAGATATTTAATGCACAAATCAATAATAAGGATAAAAATTAAAATAGTTACTGAAAAGTAGTGGAAGAAAGTCCACTAAGAAGATACAACAATCACAAATTGCACACTTAACATAACTGCAAAGCAAAAACTGATCGTGGTAGAAGGAGAAATGAATGTGGTAGGTGATTTTACCACAAAGTGTGAATATTTAAAATTTTGATCTAAAAGATGAATATAGGACTTGTACCCTAGAAATCATGAACTGTCTTTTCAAGGACGTGTTGAACATTCACAAAAATTAATCGTGTCATAGATTAATTTTTAAATCCAGTAATTAAAGATGTCATATAGACCATGTTTATAACTTCAAGGCAATTAAATAGTAAAATAAAAGTATTAAATTATTTGTAAACTTTGAAAATGAACTCCAAAATAAAATAATTCTTGAGAGGGAGGTAAAATGGTAATAGAAATTATTAAATGTTTAGAATATAATGATGATGGGGCTTCCCTGGTGGCGCAGTGGTTGAGAGTCCGCCTGCTGATGCAGGGGACACGGGTTCGTGCCCCGGTCCGGGAAGATCCCACATGCCGCGGAGCGGCTGGGCCCGTGAGCCATGGCCGCTGAGGCCACAGCGGTGAGAGGCCCGCATACCGCAAAAAAAAAAAAAAAGATAAAATAGGATAGAATGTTAAGAAATCGAATTTAGCAATGTAAAAAATAATCATGAAAATATAGGATTTATTCCAAGTACACAAGGATAATTAGAAAAACAGAAAATCTATGAAGGGTAGCAGAACAGGCCCCCCCAAATATGCCCCTTTGGCATAAGGATTATTTTGAGCTGGTTATTTCTGAGAAACTGTAGAAGCAGGAGAAGGTACCCTTCTGTAAGGGAAATCTACATTCATAAAGGAAATTTCCACTAGAAAGAGTATTTGTAAGGGAGGAGAGCTACTCCCAGAGATCACTTTTTTTTCCACCTGAGATTTACCTGCCTGGAAGGGTAAGAACTTTTGTTTCCCATACATTTTCTCTTCCCACCTGTCCTTGAATTGCCTTCTCTTCACCTACAATTCCTATCCTTTTCCTTAGCTCAGGATGGCTTATAAGTCCCAATCAGCTGGCCATATTTTGAGTCCCATATCTTTATGGGGCTCCATAAATACATCCATAATTAAATTTGTTTTTCCCCCCAGTGGTTAATCTGTCTTATGTCAGTTTAATTCTTAGAGCAGGCACAGAATCTAGAAAGGGTAAAGGGGGAAATTTTTCCTCTCCCACACTATGTGCACAGACAGCTGGGATGTAGGGGCAAGTGAAAAACAGGTGTATGAGTCCTTTCTTCCTTCAGCTATTAGGGGAATAGTTTCTATTGTTATAATATTTACCATTTGATGCTTATAAACCTGGTACTCACTAGGATGAAAATAAAATTAACTAACATTTCCCCCCCTCATATTTCAAGCCCTTGAATACCACCATGATTCTGAAACCAAGAATGCCATATGTCTCTTTTTAAAAGCAATAGTGTTTCAGGTTTAAATGGAAAATTTTCTCCCCTAAACAGGAAAGAATATCTTATACCCTCTATTTCAAAAATTGCTAAAATAACACCTGATGTGGGTGACGAGTTGAACTGTCAAAAGCTGAGATGGAAAGGATGTCAGGGTAACGTATGGCTTAGAAGCTAAAAGCTATACTATTCACCAGTAAGAGCGCTTACCAAATGGTAAGTAATGAACCTAATTGGAATGTCTCGAACATTCACTGGTGCATTAGGGTACTTTTGTGGATTTTAAATCTTTTGCTTAATCTCTCAGGAGGCAATTACCACAGAATACAAAAGAAAAAGAGATGCAATCGGGGCATGATTTAATCTATCTAGGAATTTGGGTTTTTGCACTAAAAAGCAAGCCTTTTGAACTTCCTGGGTTTTTTCATATGAAGAATTCTGAGTTTGTACCAAAGATGAACAATAATTACTCAAACTGATATTGAGGCTCTTTTATTCAATGTGAATATGACAATGTAGCTCAGGGTAGCAGTATGGGAGCCATTGTTCTAATGGTGTCACAGTTTCCATGATTTGATTTTTCCAGTCAAAAAAGTTTAAGAATCGTTTCACGTAAGAATCGTTTTACGTAAACCTTTAGGATGGATGTTTCCAAGCATTATATTTTGCATATTTCCCTCTGATTATCCTTGATATTTTTATCAGGTTGTCTTTTCTGACAGCTTTGCTGGCTTTTGGAGACTTTGATGAAACACTGAACTGAAGTAGCAGACATGCATATTGTAGGGGAAGAAAAATTTTCTTCGACTTTCTTAGGATCCCTGGTTGGGTCTAAAAATTAAACTGACAGATTAACAGGAGAAAAGCATATACATTTTATTGAATTTTTACATGGGGGGCTTCAACCAGATTGAACCCAATAATAATAATAGAGATTCAGATATTATAAACTCTCAGCTGATATGAAGTAGTTACCAAGCCTCATGCTGAATTAACTGTTCTTAGTGTTTCCCACACGTTTCCTCATTTAATCCTCCAACATCCCTGTGAGGGAGACACATTATTGCTCCCATTTACAGGTGAGGAACCTGAAGCTGAAAGATGTCTGGAACTTGACCTAGATCCCACAGCTCACCTCATAATGGAGCAAGGACTTGAACCCAGGTGTGCCCACCGCCATAGCCCAGGTGGTCCTTGAACTCTCAGCATCTCCTTCAGGGCAGAATCTGAAGCCCTGTTTGCTGAAACTGGAGATTCATGGTGCGGAGAGGAAGATAAACTTGGATAGGTTGGGCTCCATGGTATTAACATTTTTGAATATTTGTCTCATTCTTTAACCAGTTTACAAGCTTGTTGAGGGTGGAGTCCAAGTCTTCCTTTTCATCGCCACCTGGGGGTTTTATGTGGTCCCTCTACCCATGCACCCTGCCTTACTCCATCTCACTAGCTCCTCCCTCCTCTCTCTCCCTTTCTCCCTTTTTCAAGAGGAAATGGAAAATTCCTCTCACTTCCCCATGAAGAAGGCTTACCCATTCTTTTGTTTTGTTTGGGGGGGGGCTCCTCAAGTATCCCATTCCAGCTCAAAATGGATTGTAAGGTTATTTTTCCCCAAGAAAGACAATTTACCCTAAGATACATCCTGGTACCAGCTCTTAAGGAATGTAAATGTCACCTCATTACAGTGATGTAATGATTTATGGAGTACAGAAGGTGTGCTAGGCACTAGGGCTGCCAGAATGATTAAGTTGAACCTAGGCACTGGGGTCACACAAATGGCTCATCAGCCAGCGGGTTATACATGGGGAAAGATGAAACAGGGAAGGTGGAGCAAAGTCAGATTGCTATGGGATCCCAAAGGGGGGCAACAGACACAGTCTAGGGGTGAACTATAGCAGGAAGCACCCAGTGTCTCTTCAGGAAATGGAGCTGAAGGTCTGGCCATGTCCAAAGTGCTAGCCAGATGTTTCACCCCAGAATCTTCCAGCTCATTTGGTCACCTTCTTCAGACACCATCCTCGTAAATGAGCCCTCTCTGACACCACAGGGCTCCTGTGGGTCTCGGGCAAGAACAGATTAAAATCTGTACTGGTTCTAAGAATGGAAAAGACAATGAGGCCTGTTTCCATAAGTAATTCAAAATAAAACTGATACTAAACTGTAAGTTTAAGGAAGTCCAAAGAAGTTCTGACTTTTTCCAGTAATGACGACACTAAGCTTATGTGAAAATCAACTATCAGATTAGTTTTTCCTCTGAAATATCTACCTGTCATCTATCTATCTGTCATCTATCTATCTATCTATCATCTATCTATCTATCTATCTATCTATCATCTATCTCTTTTTGCCTCTGTATATTGAATAACCAATACTGGACTTTTGGGAAAAATTTAATCTATCACTTGTCCCACAAGGCTACTTTGTATCAGAGTTCTCAAGGAATAAAGAATTGTTACAAATTTCAGATTAAATTACTCCTTACCAGAACTCTCTTTGGGCTGATGCCCAAAGGCTTTCTAAGTTCCACCATAGTTCTTTAAAAAGTAAAAATAGACTTACCATGTGATCCAGCAATCCCTCTCCTGGGCGTATATCTGGAAAAGATGAAAACTCTAACTCAAAAAGATACATGCGCCCCAATGTTCATAGCAGTGCTATTTATAATAAACAAGATATGGAAGCAACCTAGGTGTCCATCGATGGAGAAATGGATAAAGAAGATGTGGTACAAATATATAATGGAATACTACTGAGCTAAAAAGAAGAATGAAATATTACCATTGCAGCAACATGAATGGACCTAGAAATTATCATACTAAGTGAAGTGAGTCAGACAAAGACAAATATCATATGATATCACTTATATGTGGAATCTAAATAAAAAAATGATACAAATGTACTTATTACAAAACAGAAACAGACTCCCAGACATAGAAAATAAACTTATGGTCACCAAAGGGGAAGCGGCGGGGAGAGATAAATTGGGAACTTGAGTTTAACAGATACATACTACTATATGTAAAATAGATAAACAAGGACCTACTGTATAGCACAGGGAACTATATTCAATATCTTGTAATAACCTATAATGGAAAAGAATCTGAAAAAGAGTATAAATATATATACATATATATACATATATGTAAATATATCACTGAATCACTTTGCTGTACACCTGAAACACTGTAAAGCAACTATACTTCAATAAAAGTATTTTTAATTAGAAATAAATAAATAAATTTTTAATTAAATTTCACCATAGCCTAAGGCTCTTGCAGGGCTCTTTAGGTCACTTATCTTTTTATCAAATATTATCATCTGGGTGTGTTTATATAACTCCAGGTAAGCAGTCAGAAGGAATACATACTTCTTTCAGAGATTTTTCAGAAACCTTTAATAATAAATAAATCTAAGCTTATTTTCATATATACTTCCTAGAAGATGGCACACAGATACACAAACCTGTATGGTTAACTGTGGGTTATTTCTGGATGGCTCCAAGTAATTAATGTTTGTTGTAATTAAAATGACACTATCAACAAGGTTGTTAACAACTTCCCTGATTTATTCTCAGAGGTGACTACTGCACTCAGTGAAAATGTCTCCAGACCAGCACCACCTGGTGCTGTAACACAGTTCTTAGGTTGTGACACTAAGCAGATGGTGAGCAATGCAAACTCCACTGCAAACAGCTAGTTAAATGAATCCCAGAACTGGACCTTGGTGATGCTCTAGTTGATGAGCTCATTTAACTGCTGAGGAAGTTGAGTCACAGAGAGCTTTGTGGTTTACCCACACTTCCCAGCTGGTTGGTGGTAGATCTCTAAGAAGAGCACTGGTCTCGCTTCTCATGCAAAGAACTTTCTACCACACTGCAGAGCTGATCTTGAGCAATGTTTAGGATCCAGCTAAATAGCTTTAAAATGTTTTCAAACCGGTTTGAGTTTTCATGTGTTGCTTTGATATTCACAATTTTATAGCCATTGGAGAAGTTATATCAATATTGGAAATAATATTTTCCTTCTCCCTAATTTCCAGCTTTGCCCCAGTGGAAAAGTTCGAGCATCCCTTTGGTTTATACTGATTCTTCCACTGATGACTTTGGAATTGCGCTACCTCTCCCTAAATCGCTCTCTTGGCAATAGCTGCTACCGATACAATACTTTCTCTTAACCTGTGGCTATGGCCAATGGAGTTCTCCTGGAAAATGGGAGAGGGTCAGCCTCCCGCCCATGACTCCCCCTCTGCTTGGAGGAGAGCTGTGGTTCTGAAAGAGCCAATTGCGAAAAATCCATGGAGAGGAATGATCTAGAAAGAATGCTGGCCTTGTCCCCGGAAGCTGTACCTGTGGGCAAGCTCAGTGTCTTTCCAACTGTGTGCAGAGTTGCCGAGGACAGTGTGTGATTAACCGGGGGATTCTTCTGGGTTTCAGATGCAGACAAGAAACGAATGCGTCATCTTCTCAAACACTGAAATATCTCCCAGATCTGCCACCTTGGGGCTGAGGCAGGGCCTTCATGGCAGTAGCAATAACTGACCGCAGGGACCTTGGATTATCCTCCTGACACATCCAAAGGAATTGTGCCTGCTACAGCCTTGCGTGTCCCGTGCCTGCACTTGACTTGATGGGGAGGGTGTAAGTCACGTGGCTGCCCAGAAGAGGAGGGCGGCAGAGATCAGGCCGGGAACAGGCTGGCTCTGCCTTCCAAGGTAGAAGCTGCATGTCTAGGGAAGAAGTGGGGAGCATGGAACAGACCTCTAGCCTTTAGGCCTGGGCAGCCTCTTTCCTGAGCAGGGTTCCTTCCCCCGATCTGGGCTACAGGCTGGTCCCAGCTCCAGCCCCAGGGGCTCTGGGGCAGACTAACTGCAGCCACAGTCCTGTCTGTACCAGCCTCCCTGAGCTCATGCCCTTTTGCAGTACGACTTTCCACCTCCTCCCAACAAGAGGTGAAGTCCATTTACACACCCTTGCATCTGGACCTGGCCGTGTATCTTGCTTTGGCCAACAGAGTGTGGCAAAGTGGTGGTGTGCCGGTTCTGGTCTTGGCTTCAAGAGTCCTTGCGGACTTTTGCTTGCTCTCTCGGCTCCTGCAGCAGCCCCGTGAACAAGCCTGGGGCTGGCCTGCTACAGCTGCTGGAAGAGGAAAGATGTACCCATCACTCCCACTGACCCAGCTGATAGCTCTCCCCCGAGAAAGAGAACCACCCAAATGACCCGCCGTTGACTGCAGACACACGAGGAACTCAGCTGAGACCAGCCCAAATTGCTGACCACAATTAGAATTATAACCTAAATTAACGAAAGTTGGTGTAAGCTGTTAAATTTTGGGGTGACTTGCTTCACCGAAGCAGGTAACTGATGCAGGTCCCATGGGAGTAGATGAAAAGGAGTCGTCTGCATCCTGCGAAGGCCTGGGCTGCTTGGGGTCGGGGGAGCAGCTGACAGCCAACAGCTGCCTGACACCAGGAAACCTCAGCAGCTAGGTCTTACCTTGAGGACGCCCTGGAGATCGGGTCCTGTAAGGAGAAAAGGAGGGAAGCCACCAAACAGAAATAGACTCACAGACTGAGAGAAAGAACTTATGGTTACCAGGGGGGAAGGGTGGGGGGGATGGATAGTTAAGGAGTTTGAGATTGACATGTACACACTGCTATATTTAAAATAGATAACCAAAAAAAAAAAAAAAAGATAACCAACAAGGACCTACTGTATAGCACAGGGAACTCCGCTCAATACTCTGTAATAACCTAAATGGGAAAAGAATTTGAAAAAGAATAGATACATGTATACGTGTAACTGAATCACTCTGCTGTACATCTGAAACTAACACATTGTTAATCAACTCTACTCCAACATAAAATAAAAATCTGGGGGCTTCCCTGGTGGCGCAGTGGTTAAGAATCCGCCTGCCAGTGCAGGGGACATGGGTTCGAGCCCTGGTCCGGGAAGATTCCACATGCCGTGGAACAACTAAGCCCGTGCACCACAACTACTGAGCCTGCACTCTAGAGCCCACAAGGCACAATTACTGAGCCCACGTGCCACAACTACAGAAGCCCATGCACCTAGAGCCCGTGCTCAGCAACAAGAGAAGCCACTGCAATGAGAGGCCTGTGCACCTCAAAGAAGAGTAGCCCCCACTCGCTGCAAATGGAGAAAGCCCGTGCACAGCAACGAAGACCCAACCCAGCCAAAAATAAGTAAATAAAATAAATCAATTTTTAAAAAATTAAAAATAAATAAATAAAATTTAAAACTTTTTAAATCAAATTTTTTTAAAGCTAAGAAAAGAAAAGAATGAAAAAAAGAGAAAGAGGGAAGCCACCTGGGGCAGAGCTGCAGGAGTAATAAGGACCAGGGCACTCGGCTTCCATGGGGAATAAATAAACCTTTAATAATGGTGGGAAGCAACTTTGTGCATGTACTCCTTCCAGGCGCTGCCTTCTTCCAGGCAGCTGGCCTTTGACACATCACCGGGGTGGATTCCCCGTGATATAAAATCCTGATTCATCAGCATTAGGTCTCCAGGGAATTCGGCCAGGTGCAAAAGATTTCTGTTTGTTAAGCCAGCGATGGATCTTTCTGCTTTTTTTGGAGGGAGGAATGGTTTTAGATCATTTGGATGGTACGTTACACATTTTTTTGGCTCTCCTGACTTGAAAATTACGTTCATTTTTATTTCCTGTCTTTTCGTGGTTTTGCTCTCTGCCTCATCTCTCTTCTCTTGATGGGCATAGTCGCAGTGATCGGCGTCTCGGTCATCCTTGCCTTCCCCAGTTTTGTCCCTTGCCGGGAGGTCCAGGCCCCCTCCAGACAGAAGCAAAGAGCTCCTAAATCTTTCAATGTAGGGTAAAGGCTGCTTATTCCTCAGGGCTCGAGCGAGCTGCATTCGTTCTATGTGCTTGCTGACGTTCAGCCTCTCCCGCTGTGGCATTTTGAACTCCTCTGGGGGCACCATCACCTTCGCCGTCCATATTTTTTCTAGGGGTCCACAGGTGGCACAAGGAGGGGTGAGTTGCTTCCTATATTCCACCGCCCTTTTATAGTCTGAAGACAGCACCTGTAGTTCCTTGAGCATTTTCCGTTCTTCTTCTTGCTTATAAGTCAGAAACCTCCTGGCTGCTATGGTGTGAACACCGCCTAGACGCTGACAACGGGAAAGGGATGGTTAAAATCTCAACGGGACAGGAGTAGGGGGGACCCACAGGAACAACTACCTAGTGGCACCTTCACCCTCCATCGCTGAGGGTGCCCGAGCCCCTGGGTAGTGAGAAAGAGCACAGATCTTCGGGGTTAGACGAGCCTGGGTTCAACTCCTGACTCTCCTTCTTACCTACTATGAATTTGAAAGAATTTTATTGATCTTACAGGCCCCTGTGAGGTCTCCATAAGATATATATGAAAGCAACTAGTGCAAGATAAGGGCTTGAGAAAAGGCAGCTTCCGTGATTTGTTATCACTTGTAGTTATATTCCTACTTGGGACTTCGAAATAAGAGAGTATTTTGCTTTTGCTATGCAGGTGTGGAAGCCACTAGCTCACAACGGCCAAGTAGTGGCCAACTCCAGTCTGCTGTTTGGGAGACTTACATCTCTATTGCTGGTGGTTTTTGAACCTCTGGCTCCCCTAGCCTAACTGCCTGGCTTCCGTGGGGCTTCCCTGTGTATAAATTTCACAGCACTTACTAGGATCTCTTTTTCCAAGGGGGAGTATTTTCCGAGGGCAATGCGTGGGTCTGATTTGTAGAATTTGGTCCATATCCTGGAAGGCAGAGAGGTGTATTAGAACTCGGAAAGGGTCATCCTAGTTTTCCCTTTGGAATGGGAAATCTCACAAAGGGTGATTCTACATTAGTCAGGGCAGGGTCACTGTGACCAGGGTTTCTACAGCCTTAGAGTGGGCTCCTCCACTTGGCCTTGTTCTGACATGGGTGGGAAGGAATAGACCAGAAGCACAGGTCATACTCACCCCAATGGTGAAGCAGAACATGGATCCCCCTGGCAGCACAGGGAGTCTTTATCCTGAAAGGAATCGCTTATATTGAATACTTGGACTGGTGTTCCATTCTTATTTGACTTCCCCTCTGTAGTCATCCTTTCTTGGGCCCTTGAATCTCTAGCCCTCTGTTTTCCAGTCTTCTGACAGCCATTCTCCCATTCTCTGATCATACTCTGGCAATAGGCTAAGATGGGAGGTGTCAGTGCCTGGAGTTTCTTTGTAAGACAGTTTTAATGGGAACCCAAGGGACAGTCACAAACTTCTTGCATCATAACTGGCCTACGTGGAGCTATTGTGAGGTCTGAGTTTAGGCAACAAATGACCCCTTGGGGTGAAATGGACACACACTACCATGCTCCTGGCGTGTTGGGGTCTAGGGGAATAGAGTGGGCAGAGAGTGTGGCTGGGAGGTGATCTGGCCACGTCACTGCCACTTATGTGCCCATAAAGACTGCTCGGTTCTTTCAGGATGAAGGCTCATCAGCTAACGTCTCTCCCTGCTGTTGGCTTCGCCTCTCCAATCTTAGCTCCGATCTTAGTTCCTCATGCTCCGTCCGTGAACTCTATCTATGGTTCTTGGAATCAGCTTCTAGACATGCTCCCCCCTGTCTCAAATACCTCTCTCCCCCTAGACAACTTGCTTGTCTTTCAGGGCCCAGCTTAACTATTGCTTCCTCTGAAGATTTCCTTGCAGAATAAATTATCCCTTGGCCCACATTCTCACAGCACTTCCTGTATCATGCTATAGTGCTTTCTCACGTATTGACTTGGTTGTCCAATAAATAGGTCTGTCTCTCCCTCTGCTCAAAGGCAGGTGCCAATAGCATCTTGTTCTTTGCACTGGGGTTGTTTATCATGGGATCTAGTATAGAGCAGATGTTCAGCCTGTTGACCTAATAAGCAATCATCTTGGGTTCCTGCCCAAAAGTGGGGTCAAGAGTGTTGCTGCTGGGAATGTATACTGGCACAATCCTGTAGAAAGTAATTAGGCAATATATACCAAAAGTTACAAGTGTGTTTACCCTTTGACCCAGCAATTACATGTATAAAATAAAATACGCACAAGTTTGTCAGTGCAGCCTTGTGTGAGATGACAAACCTAATGGGAAACTCAAATGTCCATTAACAGGTGACTGGCTAGAGAGTTATGTTTGACCATACAATGGAATACTATATAGGAGTAATAGGACTATAGAAGTAATAAAAAGATCTTAATTTATTTGGAAATATCGCTGAGAAATATTGTTCGTGCAAAAAGCAAGGTGCAAAAGTATATAAATTGTAGACGACTTTTTTGTGTTGGAAAGGATACTTGTATTTGCATAAAGAAACTCTAGAATAATACATACCAAAAAAATGATAAAAATGGTTACCAGAGGTGGGTACCTGGCAGATGAGGAAGAGGTGGGAATGAGCCTTTTCATTGTGTACATTATTATTTCGTCTTGAATTTTAGAACAATGTAAGCATACTACCTATTGAAAACGTAAGTTTAAAAAGTAAAGAAGCAGCTTATGGAAGAAGTTGTCTCTGACAAGTACTGCTCCTAAAGCTTTCCTTTGCTTCTACCAGGAAACATCCCCAAATGGGGATATTTAGAGCTCAGTCCAGTGCTCGTACCGATGCCAGCCACCCAAAATACATTGGTGCTCCTCTTACCTGGGCAAGTTCAGTTACCTGGAACAGCTGTGAACCTGGAAATAGCAACAAGTGCCTCTGAGCCTCCTGCCCTGTATTCATTGACTCACACATTTGTCCTACAGTCAACTGCTTGCACAAGCCACACAACACCTGGCACATTGCAAGCACTCAACAAATATTTGTGGAACAACCAATGAATGATACATGATAGAATATTATGGGCCTATCAAAAAATCAAGTCTTTGTCAAATTTCCAATAATATGCTCATGATGTAATGTGATGTTTTAAAAAGAGAGAATACAAAACTTATATAGAGTATGATCCGGATGCTGTCAATATACAAATATGCAGGAGGAAAAAAGACTGGAAGGAAATTCACAGAGACATCTGCAGTGGACTGTGGGATGATGGGGGATATTCTAGGGCTGGCCATGTACCAGCAGCCTGGTTACCTCCAGGTATTGAGATGGAGAAGCTATGGCCTTGTCCCAGCAGGTCCAGGTAGAAAAGGGTGGCACCGTCAGGACCCAGCTCCTCCAGGCATCAGGGAAAAGGAGAGTGAGAAAGGGCACCCTGCCACTCTGCCCAGAAGTGATGTCACCATGGCAATGATAGGTTTGGGGTGGGATCTGGAGACAGAGAGAAATTTATTTTAAGGAATTAACATACATGAGTGTGGGCTGGAATATCCAAAATCTGCAGGGTAGTCCAGCAGGCTGGAGACCCAGAGAGAGCCCATGTCGAAATTCAAGTCCACCGGCGGAATTTCCTCTTGTTCAGGGGACATAAGTCTTTGTTCTCTTCAGGCCTGATTGGATGAGGCCCACCATCATTATGGAGCAATGGGCAATCTGCTTTACTCAAAGTATGCTGATTTAAATGTTAATCTCATCCAAAAACACCTTCACAGAATAGGATTTCCCTGGTGGTACAGTGGTTAAGAATCCGCCTGCCAATACAGGGGACACGGGTTCGAGCCCTGGTCTGGGAAAATCCCACATGCCGTGGAGCAACTAAGCCCGTGCACCACAACTACTGAGCCTGCACTCTAGAGCCCGTGAGCCAAAACTACTGAGCCCACGTGCCATAACTACTGAAGCCCGAGCAACTACAGCCTGTGCTCTGCAACAAAGAGAAGCCACCTTCTCTTCAAAGAGAAGACTCATTTATTAATCATTAATTATTCTGTTGTTTACATTTAGGCTGGTTTTTTTAAAATTTGGGGCACATTCTTGTCATGTTTCCTTGCACTTATTCTGTCAGGTGCATACCTAAGAGTGGAATTGCTGAGCCCTAGGATACGTGTAGCTTTGATTTCCTAGAGAATTCTCAGCTCTATTCCAAAGTGTCTCTACAATTCACCATTCCACCAGTAAAGTATGAGAATTCACTCTTGCCAACACTAATGGGTATCTTGTGATATCTCACTGTGGCTTTAATTTGCGCTTTCTGATTACAAATGAGGTTGAACACTTTTTCTATTGCCCGTTGAGATTACCCTTAGTGAAATGTCTATTCAGCAAGTCTTTCGTCTATTTTTTCTAATACTTTTTTCTTATTGATATGTACAACTTCTTTACATATTCTTGATATAAGCCCTTTGCCAGTAACCTGTGTTGCAAATATCGGCTCCTATTCGAGACTGGCCTCTCTCCTTTCTTACTTTGATGCCAGCTACACTCCAATTTATGAGTCTTCTCCTTGATGGTTAGTGCTTTTCATGACTTGTTTAAGAAATCATTTCCTATCCTAGGTAGGAATGATACTCTACTATATTATATTGCATATATATTTATGAGTTCTCTTATATTATTCTCTAAAAACGTTTTTCTTTTGAACTTTCTTAACTTCCTACCCTCATCTTATTAACTTTAATGTTCATTTTCTACCTCTTTTTCTTTAAGTACATTTTCCAATTTATTATTATAATGGCTATCAAGGAGCATGTGTACATGTGTGTGTTTGCGTGTGTGTGTGTTTGTGTGTGCGAGTCATACACAAAAAGTCCGGGCTTCTCCTCCCCGCCTTGCCACATCCGTCCCTTCAGTCACCTCCTAGGCTCCGGCCCCCTCTGGTGGATCTTGCCACTCACTGAAAGATGGCTCTGCAAAGACCCACCAGCCATCCCCCTACCCCTGGGCTAAGATTCCCTATGGAGATAGCCCCCTTGGTTATGAGAATGGTGCTCCTTTCTAACATTGCATTATATCCAGACTTTATATGAGAAGCTGTGTGCCTTAAAATCATAGTTCCCATTACAAAGCCGTTGGCTCTGGGCAGACCAGCCTCCTGGACAGTCTTCTAGGTCAGTGCTTCTCCAACATTAATGTGCATATAACCCTCCGGGGAGATCTAATTAAAATGCAGAGATTCGGCAGATTTGGGGTGGAACCTAAAGATCTGCACCTCTAACAACTTCCCAGGGGATGCCAATGCTGCTGGTCCAAGAGGAACAAAGTTGCAACTCAATGTGCGGGACTCCTCAGCACGAGGTGCTACTCAAAGTGTGGCTAGGGGGCCAGCAGCAGTGGTATAACCTGGGAGCAGGTTAGAAATGAAGAATTTCAGGCCTTGTCCCAGATCAACTGAGTCACAATCTGCAATTCAACAAGCTCCCCAGGTGAATCCCACACACAGAAAAGTGTGAAAGGCAGCTGGTTGGCCCCGTGAGGAATCAGATGACACACAACCTCCACATGGACCCCCATGGAGTCAGCCCAGAGGACTTGTGGTCAGGATTCACCTGCTGTGCACCAACCTGTTTCTAAAATCCAGTTTCCCAGACTTGCAGATATTGAAAACAAACTTATGTTTACCAAAGCGGGAGCAAGAGGGAGAGGGATAAATCAGGAGCTTGGGATGAACATACACACACTACTATATATAAGATAGATAACCAACAAGGACCTACTGTATAGCACAGGGAGCTCTACTCAATATTCTGGGATAACCTATATGAGAAAAGAATCTAAAAAAGAACAATTGTATGTATATGTATAACTGGACCACTTTGCTGTACAACTGAAACTAACACAACATTGTAAATCAATTATACTCCAATAAAATTAAAATTAAAAAATGAATCCAGTTTCCAGCTTCCTGTCTGCTTCCTCTTGGCATAAGGATTGAGGAGATGCTGGCTCAAGCAGAGTTGTTACAAATAGTTACTTAGGAATAAATAGGTCCACTTTTGGAGCCTCTTTGGGAGGTCCACCCAGAACAGTGGAAACCTATGGATAAGGCGAGGCCTGTTTCCATTTAGACCTCTGGGGAATGCTTGGTCACATGGAGGTGTCAGAAGCAGGGTCTCTCATTCTTTTGTTCTGACTGAGGGGGAACAGATTATTATCTGGGGAAGGTCAAGTCCCAAAAGGGTGATCTAATCAGACCTCAGAATCTAGGCCAGGATGACGATATTCCTGCCTGCATGTGTTTTTTATTTTTTCCCACCAGAATTTCAGGCCCACCAAGGAGGACTCCCCCTCCCCAGTGGAATCTGTCCCACGGAGGTGAGTTGAGGTAACAGACACCAGGGCACAAGAAGGAGGGTCTTCCCTAGCCCTTCCCTCACCGATTAACGCAGACCACTGTGCAACACCACCTTCTCAGTCTGAAAGGAGGCTTTGAGAATTCTCCTTTGGCTGCCTGTCTTGCTATTAAGATCCTACCCAAGAGAGTCTGATAGGGTGTGGCCTGGGCATTGGGATGTTTGGATGCCCTCCAGGTGGTCCTACCATGTGGGTTAAGAATTACTGTCTTATAGCGATCTGTAGTTATCTTTATTACTATCTCACTCCTCCCATTAGAATGTAAGCTCCAAGAGACCAGGAACTTTTAAAATCTTATTTATTGCTATTTTCGCAGTCCCAGCATGGTCTGTGACACATAGAAGGCACTCAATAAATATTTGTGGAATGAAAAAAAAAATAGCTAAGATAGCACTGGAAGTGAACCAAGAAGCCCTGGGCCATAGGATATACTTTACCTACCATAAAATTTGCCTGTTTTAGACATGCAATTCAATGATTTTTAATAAATTTGCTGAATTGTATAATTCACAATCCAGTTTTGGAATATTTCCCCGAAAAGATCTCTCATGGTCATTTATAGTTAATCCCCTGGCAACCACTAGTCTACTTTCTATCTCGACAGATTTGCGTTCAAGTGTTTTCTTTTTTCTTTCTTTTTTCTTGCGGTACAGGGGCCTCTCACTGCTGTGGCCTCTCCCGTTGCGACGCACAGGCTCAGCGGCCACGGCCCTCGTGTGGGATCTTCCCGGACCGGGGAAGGAACCCGGGTCCACTGCATCGGCAGGCGGACTCTCAACCACTGCGCCACCAGGGAAGCCCAAGTGTTTTCTTTTTAAAATGACCCCTTTCCAGCTTCAAATTACCCTCGCCTCCTTGGCTTTCTGCTGTAGGATGCGTTGGGTTTTTTTGTTGTCCCTCTGTCACCACTAGAGGCACTGCTAAATCCGTGCTCAGGAAACCTGCCCTCTTCCCATGAAGCCGGAAGTACCTGCCTAGGCTTGTAGCTGGGATAATGCCTGAACTCACTTGGAGGATCAGGCTGAAGATCATCTTACCTTTCCGTAGGCTAATGCAGAAACAACTTAGCAGTTCCAAGACTCTATCAGATTATGGAGGAAGGGTGTTAATTGCGGTTTCCCTTATCTTTAAATAACAACTTCCTGTATTAGCCTGGCGTGCAGATGGTGCCAGGCAAGCCAGACCATGATTCTGCTGGTCCCACTGCAGCCAGACAAAGCAGGAGACCAGGGGATGGACAGCTTCCTGTATCTGGGACGCTCCTTCCCGCCTGTCACTCCTTGTGAAGTCTGGACACAGATAAAATAGGAGAAAAGACCCCCCTTTCTGGGGCCACAGCAAGTCAAGACTGTAGGACTGTGGTGTTACTCTCCCTCCATGATGGGGAGGAGTGGGAAAGGGGATGGGTTAGGCTGGGGAAGGGTATGACTAGGCAGAGTCCGGGCTCCATTCCTGTCTTGTGCCCATGTCCCCCTGACATCTTATTTAGCTCTGTCCCCTGTCTGGGTTGCTACAAACTCTAACTGAGAAGTGAACAACCAGAAAGAGAATGTGAGAGAAAAGGAGCTGGCCACGTCTGGGAGGTACATCCCAACTAGCTCACCAGATGCAGGGCTCACCAGGGTGCTCATTCGACCTGTGGAGAGTTAAAAAAAAAAAAAAAAGGGATGAAGAGGAGTTACTCAGGGTCATGTGATCTAGTGGCAGAGCTGAGTCCCCAGGGCAAGGAGGAGCCACCAAATACAGAGGCAAAGACCTGGCACATTTAGGGTCGGGATATAGTGATGGAAAGAGACTGGCATTTGACTGGTAGGTGGACAAACTTTTCACTTTTTCTTCTCTTATGCACAGAAGCCCCCTAGACAGTGGACTAACCATTAAATGTCTGCTCTGCACATTTTGCAAGTATTGACATTACTGGCAAAAGCTGCCCGTTACAGATGCACGTTACAGGGGCATCAAAGCAGGATACTTAGTCTACTTAAATGTCTGCTTGAATGTAATACTCTGTAAG